TTTCTCCAACCACTGATTTCTGTAAATCAAATTACCAAAAAGTTATAATGTCTTTAAAATTAATAGATAAGTTGGGTGAAGGAAAAGACATTATACATAAGGGTTTAATTAGTCATTAATCAATTTTTAACTAATGCCATAAAACCCAATGTCTACAAATGGCTGAATGAAAACATTATATGATAGGTAAATTATCACTTTAAAAAGTGTATAAATAAAACTTGTCATTTGAAAGAAACTATGCTATTGTGGTTTCTCTCTTTTTAAATTAGGGACCTCTAGTAGCCTCCACAACAGTGACCTAGTGGTAAGAAATTATGCTGCAATCCCAAAGGCACAGGCTTCAGATCCACCGGCTTCTCTAGAGAATGACGGGAAATCTCCTTTGCTGTGATTAACTGCCTCTGAAAACCTGCTGAAAGGTCAGCTCTTGGTCATTTCTGACCAGACAGTATACAACAACGCGCTATTGGAATTTCTCCTTTTTAAAATTCCTTGACTCTCATACGTTATGGTTTTACATTTAATTTCATTCGTTTCATTTTAAAGATATTATTAAGGAAATCATGCTAGTGGCTAATCCTACAGACAAAACATAAAACGAGAAAGTGAAGCGTCCCATAAACAATTGCCAATTACCTTGGTTAGAGCTAACCATTGAGAACTCTTTGTTTTGGATGCTTGTGGACAATTCCTGTGCACACACCTATGCACTTATTTTCTTAACTTTTAATCTTGAATATCTTTTCCATGTTTGCATACATTGTGCTACTTTACTTTTTACAACTACATATTATCCTGTTGTGTGGGTGTAACATTATTCATGCAGTCTCCTATTGATAGACACTTAAAATATTTTACCCATAATTTTTAATAAATAATTAAAAATATTTCTACAAGATAATTTAATAATATACTTCTACATATATTTTTGAATACCAACATTTCTATCTGGGATGTTTCTGGGTCAAAACCACATGTATATTCACTTTTAAAAAAATGCATATAGTTAGTATTTATTGTGTGCTACAAAACTTAAGTACATTTTTAAAAATTGTACTTTGAATTAAAGATTACTAAGTACATTGTTTTTCCAATCAATCAATTCTTCATGCATATTTTGTTCCATAACATTGATGAAAACACCTGCACCCGCAATATCACATCATTCATACATTCTATATTTTCTTTCCCTTTAACCATGCTATAAATGGTTATTACCCATTAATTTATTTTCTGGTCCCCTTCCCTTCTCTGGTAATGATACTAGGATAATTATTCCATGTGTAAACAGTTCAACAGTTCTTTAGCTTTTAATAATAATGGTCTTACACAGTATTGTCCTTTTGTTATTAATTTAATGAATGTTTACAGGGACTTTGGATTTCCATTCGTTCATTGTTGCATTTTTCTCCCTGTCCACCCCTTCCCCCAATTTACTCTTCTCTTTGAAAATTAAAAGAAAAATTCTTTCATTGGTATACAATTTGACCCCCCCCACACACACACCCAGTGTTTTCAGTACACTCCACTATGCAGCTTTCATTCTGGACTCTTGCCATGACCTTAATACCCTATCACATATTGCTTTTAAACAGTTCTCTCCCTCATCTGTTTCAATGCAATATACATAATTGTGTACAATATTGTTCTTTTATGACTGACTGATTTTACTCAGCAACATGTCTCCTAGATTTATCCATGTTATACAGTGCTTCATGAATTCGTCATTGTATGAATATATTATAGGTTCTTTATCCATTTCTTCTTTGATGAGTACTTGACTTTTCCCCTGTCTTTTGCTATTATGAATAATGCTGCAAAAAATATAGATGCACATTTTATCTTTTCTTTCACAGCTCTTATTTCTTTAGGTTATATACCTGGTGATAGAAAATTTATGCCTTTGAGCTGTGATGATGGAGAAGAGTGTTGAGTACACCACAAAGTGCCAGGAGAACAAACAGGTTCTTCCTTGAGAGGGTGAAGGCAGGATACTCCTTGGAAGTAAGGATTCTGAGGCTTCGTCTGACATAATTTTGGCACGTTGCAAGGAGACACTGGTCCTTGGAAAGAGGCATCATGCTTGGAAGGGTGTAGAGATAGAGAAAGAGAGGGAGACCATCAACGAGATAGACTGATACAGTGGCTTGGGTAATGAGTGTAGGTTTGTTGGGTTCAATAAAGTTGGCACAGGATAGACCTGGTTTCAGGGCTGTTGTACATAGAGTTGCTATGAGTCACAAGCAACTCAACGGCACATAATAACAACAAAAATAACAATAACATATACCTAGTAATGGAATCACTTGTTATGCATCAGAGAGCTGGACAATGACTAGGGAGGACAGAAGGAGAATTGACGCCTTTGAGCTGTGGTGCTGGAGAAGAGTATTGAATGTACCATGGACTGCCGAGAAAGCAAACAGATTCATCCTAGAGAGGGTTAAACCAGGCTGCTCCTTGGAGGCAAAGATTCTGGGGCTTCGTCTGACATACTTTGGACATGTTGCAAGGAGAGACAGGTCTTTGGAGCGGGACATCATGCTGGGTAGAGTAGAGGGACAGCGCAGGAGGGGAAGACCCTCCATGAGGTGGATCAATTCAGTGGCTGGGGTAATCGGGATGGGTGTGTTAGAGGCAATGTGATTGGCACAGGATAGAGCAGGGTTTAGGGCTGTTGTACATAGGGTCACTATGAGTCGCAAACGACTTGATGGCACATAACAACAACAACAACAACAACAGTAATGGAATTGCAGGGGCTCTGCTGGTAAGGGGTTGCCAGTCTGAAGATATGTGATTCAAATCCATCAGCTTCTCGTTAAGAAAAGATGAACAGTCTCTTACTCTGCAATTTTCTACTTCTGAAAACCCACAAAGGGTCAGTTATGAGTTGGTTCTGACTTGATGGCACTGAGTTGGTTCTGACTTGATGGCACATAGCAATAGCACAACAGTGGAATAAGAGAATCAAGTGACATTTCCATTTACAATTATTTAAAAAAATGACCAAAATGCCTTCCAGAGAGGTTGCACCATTTTACATTCCAATTAGGGCATTTATTTTTTAATAGATTTTTATCCAAATAGTCATACACTAAGTGGATTTTATTTTATATATATGTATACACACACAAATATATATACATATATACACACACACATATAAGCCATTATATATATACACACACATATACTGTTATATATGTCTTTATATATACACACACATATATGACTATATATATATGACAGTCTGAACAGAATGCCTATACTAAAACACCAAGTTCCATATGCTTTGGTGTCAATTCCTACTTTATGTAAAATGGGATTTTGTTTGGAGATAAGCCATTTATTCTGCAAAATAGTTTTACTTTGAGTCTAGTTAACATTTACCTACAGATATTTTTAAGCTACTATCACACTGTTGTTTGTTGTTAGGTGACATTGAGTCACTTCCAACCCATAACAACCTTCTATATTACACAATGAAACCCTGCTGAGTCCTGTGCTCTCTTTACAATAGGTGTTTTGCTTGAGCCTGTTGTTTAAGCCAGTCAGCATCAGTTTACCTTACGGAGAGTCTTCTTCCTTCAAGTACTAATACAGTATTTATCTGTATTTTCCCATGAAGCCTTCCACTCACTTTTGTTGAGGTGATTCTGACTCAAAGAGAATCAATAAGGTAGGATTGAACTGTCTCGTATCTGGCATTTCCGAGGCTGTCATTCTTTAGAGAAAGCAACCACCACATCTCTCTCCACAAAGAATGGGTCCACCTCTCAGTTAATAGCTGAGTGCTTTAACAAATACACTACCAGGACTCTGCAAAAGAAATATACTATATTTACTGTGGTTATATTTTCAGGTGGACCCAATCTTTGGAGGAAATTATCATGTGTGGAAATGGAGAGAGCCAAAAATAAAAAAAATAAAAAATAGAGTCAGATCTTCAACCAGATGGGTTGACAGAGCGACCTCCATAATGGGCTTGAGCAAAGATTGTGAGGTTGGTGAGGACAGGGCAAGGTTCAGGTCTACTGTTTACAGTGTAGCTAGGAGGTGGTCAACTCGATGACACTGAAAAACAACAACAATGTTTAAAATAACTAACTTGACTAATTTGTTGTTCCACCTTTTGGCTCAAGCTATTTCTTCCACCTGGCAAATCTACCCCACTCCATATCTATCCTGACTATTATAATTGTACCTACTCACCCTTCACTGTTTGTTTCCAATAACTTACTCTTCATCTAAGTCATGCATGTTCCTTCTGAACATGGAAGAGTTCTTGCTCACTACTGTATAGTTCATTTTACAGTCTGCTGTAGCTGTGTGCAGTCAAGTTAAAACCAACCTATACTGACCCTCTAGCAGGTTTTCAGAGATTGTTAATGTCACAGGTGAAGATTACCAAAGTTGCTGGTGAATTTGAACTATGTGCCTGTGGGATTGCAGCACAGCTTCTTACTACTAGGCCAAGTCCCTTAAAAAAGGATAGCTATCATAGGCTCTGGAGATATTCCTCTCTATAAATATTCTTGTCTTCCTCTCTTTTCTCTTGCCTGTTGCAGTATGTTGATCTAGTTTAACCTGTGCAGCAAATATTGTGGAATTACTTTTATTTTCTTTTGAAAGAATGTTTAATACAAACTGGTGAAATGATAATATTTTTCTGTAAAGTTCAGAATTTCTAATACAGCAAACACTGATTTCAAAATAATATATTTTTTAAATGTCTCATTGGAATTTATAAACAAATGTAGCTTTAAAAACTGGGGCTAAATCTGAAGCATACTGGTATGAGGAGCAGGGATGCTATCATATTAAAGGCCTTTGGAGAGAGGCTAGCATAGTTTACACGCCATTGGACCTATTTATAGCGCTAACTCCTTTTTGCAGTGTCAACTGTAACATTATACTTATTTTAAACCACAGTATCTCAAATATCAGCCTCTACTAGTTGTACAGTTCTCTCTTATTTGATATCAGAGAGCCCAATGGAGCCTTCTGAAGAACTTAGTCAGATTAGCAAAGATAACTTTTTAGAAGTTCCTAATTTATCAGACTCCCTTTCTGAAGATGAAGAAGTTAAAGCGACTTTCAAACCTGGTTTCTCCCCTCAACCTAGCCGACGAGGTTCTGATTCTTCTGAAGATATGTACCTGGACACCCCATCTTCAGGTACGCGAAGAGTTTCTTTTGCTGATAACTTTGGATTCAATCTTGTGTCTGTTAAAGAGTTTGATTGCTGGGAACTGCCGACTGCTTCGACCAATTTTGACTTGACAAAGGACATTTGCCACACAGAAGAATATGTTTTGTCTCCACTCTTTGACTTGCCTTCTTCAAAAGAGGATGTTATGCAACAAGTTCAAGAACAGAAAGCGATACTGGAATCAACTGAGTATCCTCCTGATTCAACAAGTATGAAGGGAATTATCCGAGTTCTGAATATTTCTTTTGAGAAGTTAGTATATGTAAGAATGTCCTTAGATGACTGGCAGACACATTACGACATCTTAGCAGAATATGTTCCGAATTCATGTGATGGGCAAACTGACCAGTTCTCCTTTAAGATTTCATTGGTTCCTCCCTATCAAAAAGATGGCATTAGAGTTGAGTTTTGTATACGTTATGAAACTTCAGTGGGTACATTTTGGTCAAATAACAATGGCATAAATTATACATTAGTTTGTCAAAAGAAAAAACAAGAACTGGAACTTGTAAAACCACAGGAAGAAGTGCCCAGTAGACAAATAAAAGGCTGCTTAAAGGTAAAATCAAGGTGAGGATTTATCTTACATTTTTTTGCTATTCATAATATTAAAGCTTTTAATGTCATTTTTAAAATTTCACATGTTATAAGAAATAGCCATTTTATTTTAAAATGTTCTGCTTGCTGCGTAAAACACAATGGTACTAGATTTTAACAAAGTAAATTCTAATCAATAAATGTGTTATGCCTTCTTCAAATATGAGAAAAGTGTTGATATAATGTAAGAGATGGAAGTATAATAATGTGTGTATTTTTCTAATCAGTTATAAATTGCTTAAATGTAAATAATAGAATTTAGATGCTTCATTCTAAAAGTAATTCTTGAACAGTTGATATATATGTTTTCAGTAATTTTAAAATGATCTCTGTTCTCCTTTGAAACTTTAGTGATTAATGTAGAAACTGTGTCTCAATAAATACCATGAACTCAGAAATATATTGACTTCTCTGAAGAACTACAGTAAACTTCTTAATGATGGATTGACAGAAGAATGTTTTAAGTGATGTGAGTTAAGTTAAATCATAAGACTTCAGTGACATAAGCCTTAAGTGATAAGCTAGAAAAAAAAATACACAATGCTTCTGAGTATAATGTATGAAATCTGTATATAACTATAGAATTTATAACCAAATATACTGTTATTGAAAACAAACTGGCACAATTTAGCAAGTAAAGGAAGCAGAGTTTCTTTAAAAAAGGAACCAAATAGAAATATATTTAGCTACATAAGTTAGGCATTTGAAATCTGGTATAACTCCTTATCTTGATCTCCTATAACTATAAAAATAAGGAAATCTGTTGCTAGACTCTCTCTGTAGTGTTAACATGGGCTAAATTCCATGACACTAGGTTACTAGTTAAGCCATCCTGGCTGCTACAAAGTCTTTCTGCTCCTCTGACTATCTCAATAGGAATGTTTTCATTGCTCCACTAGCTCGAAGTCAAGGTTTGATTAGACTTTGGTAAGTACTTACTAATTATCCCTAAATGCAAAGATTCTACATTAATAGCCTATGGAGAAGGGGGGGAAGATAATCAAGACATCCAGGTTTTACAAAGAATTCAATGAAAATATACTAGATGGCTCTCAGAATACTTTAATTTGTTTCTGGTTTAATGCCCTGTTATAGGACAACTCACAATACCGACTAAACTACTTATTCTAATGTGTTGATGAAGAATACATATTATAGGTAAAATAATCCAATAATTTAAAATATTTCTATTTTCATTATCCTTTTTTCATTTGAAGGATTGGCATAATTTTGTGAATTGTCAAATTTCTTTAGCCAAATTAAACTTGTTGATATTTTAGTTGATGCTATTGCAATAATATAAACATAATTTCTTTGTAGACTACAAACATAATACATATGTTTATAAATTTTTAAATTATGCATGCAGGCAAAAATGAGTTCAAGCTTATTTAATACTGCTAATCTGTGCAAAGAAGCATACACATACCCAATAGTTTTTCAAAGGAAGATATCATCAGTGACTGTCTCTTAGACATATCGCAATTTGCTTTGTATGTGATAGAAAAGTCGAATTTAGGAAAGAGAATTACTGTCAAACTTCTTATAAAAGTTCCAACCCAACTGACCCACTGCTGTTGAGTCAATTCCTGCTTAAAGTGATCCTACAGGACAGAGCAGATTTGTCCCGTATGGTTTCCAAGGTATAAACCTTTATGCAAGAAGCCTGCTGCATCCCTCATCTACCAAGTGAGCGGTGAATTCAAACCAGTTATCTTGATCAGTAGCCAGTCACTTTAACCATTATGTCACTGGGTCTTGCTGCTCATACAAGAAGTAGTGCTTAACTAGGTTTTTTTCCTGCATGTTAAAGATGTGGCCTTTGAGTTGGCAGAACAGCTCTCTGAGGACTGCACCACTAAGCTCTCTGGCCTGACCTCAAGGCAGAACTTCTCAAATGATAATGCCTTCATGGTGCTGTTGTTAGGTGGTACTGTCTAAACCAAACCAAAACAAAAAACAAATGCTAAACTACAGTATAGATAGGGAATTCCTTTTGTAGAACAAACTTGACTTGATATCAAGAACAAAGAAGAGAATGGATAATTGAGAGGCCAAATCTGCACTAGTCATGATATATTGGAACTTCTACTCGTACGAGATATGTATTACTGTATCTATATCTATATATCTATATGCACATTTTTATTCAGAACAGTAATCATCAGATTCATAGCAGACACCATTCAAGGTATAATATTGCTTTGGGGAAAACCTGAGAAGAACAAAACCACAAAATGGTCTAAAGGTCTGTAAAGTTTCCTAATGAGTTATAAAAATGGAAAAAAATCTCTCTCCTTGAAAACCACAAATACATTTTCTGCACTTCTATAACTTAAAAATGACCAACATAATTCAAACCACATTTTGAAAAAAGCAGTTGCCTCTGGAGGAAGCTTTTTGGGCTGAGTTTCAGTCCTACATGAATTTTTACATCTGATTTATATACCACTCAAAACGGAGTGTATAAAGGAAATCCTGACAGATCCTCTGAACAGCGTGGGCCATAATAGAATATTTATACAGCTTTTCCATGATATAATTTATATGCAATAGGGTTTCAAATATTCCTAAAACTCACACAAGAGAGCATTATCAAGTTTCTATATGAATATTGCAGTTGGAATTCATTGTGAAGAATTTGGGGAGAGGGAAACAGCACACCTTACTAGTGTTATTTTATGAAATGGGTACTTGGCTAAAAGGAAAAGGAATTAATACTTACTTGATCAAAAATTGTAGCTTTTAAAATATCTTTCTTCTTTGTCCCTTACCTCTCCCAAAATAGTTACAGAATGAATCTTGCTGGAATATTCTTCCCAAACCTTATGTGGCTTAAATTGTAGATATTTATCCCAGAAGAGAAATAAATGGACATTTTTGCTTCATGCATATAAGCAGATTATTAATAAGGTATACTATAAATCACAGTCAAAATAAAATTTTCATGATTTAGACTGTAACATGTAAAATCAATTCCTCCTAATACTAAAGTTAATTTCCTCTTTTGGTGCCTGAGATTTATCTCCTCAAAGTGTCAATAATCCCTTCTAATATGTGCAGAATGAATGGTGGCAGCATATTTAGTGAGTCGGAGTTTTGGTTACATCACTCACTCATCTAGGTACAATATTTTGTCTATGGAAACTTTTTTCAGGTTGATGTTTGCAAATCTCCACTTTGGTGTGGCTAGGCTGTCTATTTTCTTCTGAATCTTGTCTACCCACTTTGGCCAGAGAGAAATATCTAGAGGGAGCAGCATGCCACTATGGGCATGTGACTGAGAGTGACCCAAAGGCATTTAATTGCTCTGGAAGGCATGCATCATGAGATACTTGTTAAGTGTCATCACGTACATGGCACTGCGGTACGTGCTAACAAACAAACTAAGTAGACTTCTGGTCTACATCCCATGGTTATAGTTAAAAATAAATGACACTGATATAA